AAATTGCAACGACTGTTAGTGTATACAGGCTAAAAAAATATATGTTAAACAAATGTTTGAAGATCACCTTGGAGAAAGATAAAGTTAATAGCTTAAAGAATAACATTCGATAAAATTACACTAAAAATGTCAAGACTTGAAATGCCATCGTGAGAAGGCATGGTTCTCTTTTAGTTCTTTTCTAGTTAGAAAACAGAAACCCCGGGACAGAAAGATTTGATGACTTTCACAATGTGAAAATGTCAGCCCTCGTATGTACTAATAATGCTGTGACTCGATTTCCGAAATTTTGTTTGAAGATTCTGTCTTATTCTATTTAAGAAAACGTGATTTTGTTTAAAATAAACATTCTTAAAATGTTGATCTGTTTACTTTTGTAAATGTACAGTAAATATATTAAGGGTATGTTTGACTACATTCAGAATTTCAAAATTGTCCATTTATAACTTGTTGTTTATTTTTGAAAATGAATACTTTGGAACTAATAAAAGCCAACGTTAATCCTCTTTTAAAAGAGCGTACTATTAACCAAAAAAATAATATTTAAAGCTGGACATAAATCTAGGATCGAAAATTATTTGTTGATTTTTCTGTCAAATGAAGTGGCTACAGATGTCATTCAGGCAATATATTAGGTTAATACCATATCGCATGATCATTGGCCATTGACCATTGAACATTGGAAATTTTGTCTATTTAATTTGTGCTACACCTCACACTGACAGAGTGACTAATTATAAACCAAAATGAGATTATTGACATTTTTATCAATGATCTTGAGCATTTTGCAGAAAGATTCTGACATTTGTTTTAAAAATGATCAAAAAATACCAAATAAGCATAGTTCCGGTTGTGCTAGATTATTCCCCTCAGACATCTAATTATAGCTGGAAGTTGCCAGAACATCAAAGGTTGTCTCTGTATGAATCTTGAGGTTTTTTCTTTAATCACAAACTTTTATCACAAACATTAAATTAGATAAGATTCAACAATATTAACTGTGTTCATATATATGAACTTTCTTCCTTGTTCGTATCTATAACAATGGCGGGATCTGTCTTGTAGAGCAAAATGATTTCATCAGAATGTTATAGTTATACTAATTGGCCATTTGATTCGATTCATAATATTAATTTTTCTGTGAAAAGATACGAATTCATAATAACGCAACGTATTTTTTAGAATCAATATATTATTATAATGAAGCATATTTTTAAAAGAAGGGGGAGTTGTTTGTCGAATGAATTGAGAACGTTTTTTCATGCATTTCGCTAAATGCTTTTCATCCATAAAACATCAATACACTTTAAAACATTTTGTTGACTAAAAGATTGCAAAATATAATCCAAAAAAATATTTCTCATTTTCAAGGATTATCTATGGATTAACACCCAGGTATTTTAATTTTTCAAACTTCAGAGGGCTGGGAATCATTCATTTGATAATCAACGATTTTAAATAATAGAAATGCTGTGTTATATAGGTTTCATGTATGCCAATAATTTCTCAAATTTTGTAAACTGTACATATTCCTCAATCCCTAGAATTTTCTCTTTGAGGAATTTCAACACCCAGCAGTTGCTTGGAACTGTATTAAGCAGTTCATGCTATCCTTAAATATTTTTTGTATGTCAGAACTTTACTCTGTTTTCAAATATATAATCAGATTTTGATAATACTGAATATTAAAAACTAAGGTTAACACCTTTAAACAATTCTGTCCGGGCTATTATGTACAGTGTATATCACTAGTATGTTATGTCATTAGTATACAGTGTCATTATAGTGCATTGTCATTATATGCGATGTCATCAGTATGTGTTGTCATTAGTATGTGATATGCAAGAAGATTAGCGTCTCATGAAAACTCGCTAATATTGTTATAAGCAATTTAAATGTGCATCGTACTTTTCACATTTATTTTAGTCATAAAGTACGTCAAAATTACGTATTAGACTAAATGGGGTCTAATCATCGGGTTTCTAGAAAAAATGTCAGGATAACGATTATACAACAGCTATGTTGATGAGCTATGGAATCAATGTGATAATAATATTAATACAATAACGTCATTTCGAAGGGCAAAATTGAAATTTCACTAGATTGCCCGCAGAAATGACGTTATTAGTATTATTACCACCGTTAATGACCAGGATTGAAACAGCAAGAAAATCTTACGCACTGAACGATATCTAGTTTCCTGGGGAAAATTGCCGGTCGTTAAATGCATTCTCGACCGGTCTGAAATGCATTCTTGACTACAACTATGACGTCACATATTGCTCAGGTCAATATAGTAAAATAAACGCCTTCTAAACTAGCACTAAAACCCCTAGAACTGGCCCGGCAAGGTGGTAATAATAGTACAATAACGTCATTTCTAAGGGCAATAGAGTGAAATATTGGACCGAGGGCCCAAGGCCCAAGGTCCAATATTTCACTATATCGCTCGCAAAAATTGCCGGTCCAGAATATATTCTAGACCGGTCCATATGGACCACCACTATGACGTCACACAATTCTCAGGTCGATATAGTAAAATGAACGCCTTCTAAACTAGCAATAAAACCCCTAGAACTGGCCCGGCAAGGTGGTAATAATCAAGATTAGTTCTTATTCTTAGGGAGACCAAACATTGCAAAAACTTCACATTCACGATGTAAACAATAACGACGGGGTAGCGTACTTATTTGGATAATACTGAACATTATAAAGGTTATTAAAGTAACAGTGACCCTAGAACAATTCTGTCCGGGCTACTATGTATATCATTAGTTTGTAATGTCATTAGTATACAGTGTCATTATAGTGTGATGTCATTAGTATATGCGATGTCATCAGTATGTGTTGTCTCTTACCTTTTGGATGATTCAGATTTGATTACTTGAATTGAATTGACAAGATTTTTAAGTTGAAACAAAGTGAATTTACCTGGTCCTAACTGAAGGGCTGAATTTAAGCATAAATGAAGTCCTTTGAAGGAGGGTGACTCTATGTGCAATATTTCATTTTTTTCATTCTATGAATTAACTACTGTATTGGAGTGTTTTCACAGTTTAAAATATCTCATTATGATCGATTTTATTTAAGTTTGAAAATATTATTGGATTTATGTATTCAAAAATATTTTGATCGTAAAAATTTAAAGTTGACACTCATCTTATTTTATTTAAGATTAATTTTTCAAAAATTGACACTTATCTTATTTTAAATGTTATAGCAAAATGTCGACACATGCGAATGCTCTTTACAATCAAAAACATGATTTACTAATTCATACTATTTTGTAAAAACCTCTAGATACGTAAAACACCTGTCTTGATTCGCAATTGCAAGGTGTCAGTTCCTCCAACTTCTTGAATGTATTATAACACCTAGAAGTCTAAGATGTAAACATCCCAGACTTCACCAACTCTACCAAACATCAAAATCGGATTTCATATTAAAGAGAGAATCAGAGATAGCGAGCAGGCTAAACACAAAATTGTTTCAATTTTAGAATATTTTTGGCTCATGTCATTCCTTGTCATGTCTATTTTATAAAAATCACAAAAGTGCATACTTTATTCAAGGAAAACAAAAGATTTTTACAATAATGTATTATTTTTCTATAAGAATGGTTACCATTCTTATTATTTGGGAGAATTTAAACATTTTTCACTCATTTTTGCACTTTGACTCATTAATAACTTCACCAATTTATAACATATTGTGAATCTTTTGGGAGATATTGTATTTGATATTGTAAGGAATAGATTGGTAGGTCAATTATGCACGTTGCTTGTAATTTTGTCACCCCCTATAGATCTGATTCTGCCTTTAAACATAAAAGTATAACAAAGGTTTCACACTCTGGGTGTTAAAAAAACTTAGAACAAAGGGGTTACAACAATTAACATAACTGTATTTTAGATTATCAACTTTGAAGTATTGTGTAGAAATAAAATATAATAAGAAATAAAATATTTTCTTTAAGCACCAGCTCCTTTGGTAGGTGTTGATAAAAATATGACAGTTTTGGATAAAATCAAGGGAACAATTTCTCAAAATATCTTTCTGTAAAGGTAAAATTATCTTCTTTTTACATGTTCAACATTCATTTCGTTTAACACAACCCTTCTTCACCCCCTTTCCCCCTTAATTGGGCTTTGTAATTCAATGTTCTGTACATGTGTTTTATTGATCTGTTTAAAAGGAGGTTTATCTCTGTTTATAGATAATATGATTTAAAACGAATATACAGGGTGTCTCATATGTATTGACCCCACTCCCAAATAAAATCATACATGTAGCATTGCTACCCTATCATGTTATACACCGTTGTTCGTGAATATGGAATTGGAATATCTACTTTGTTTTGAGTGTAATTTCAAATTTTAGTGAGATGAGATTTTTCAAATATGTATGCATAAACCGGTCAATATATAACGATGCATTCAGGTCGTTGTTTCATATCAACAGCTGAAACTGCTGTTACTGGTCCAACGCGTATGCTGACGTCACTCTAAGCCTTTGACAAAATATACCAAATATTAACATCAAAGCAAGGTATTATCAATCGCGAACTGGAAGCTCAGAAAGAAGATACACAACTTTGGGAGGATCGTTTATAGTAACAAATCACTGAGGAAAATATAAAGGTATGTAGGATTGTTCAAATAACAAAATGCTTGACGTAATTAAAATAAGAATCCAGTGTAAACGTTTCACCAGGATGAGAAAAAATATGAACGAAAAGAAAAAGCCTCCACAACACTTCATCTGAGATTGAAACAGAACGGTTTAAAAAACTAACGAAATGAACTAAATTGCATTGCCGATTTGGTAATCATTCTTGAAGATAAGCTGCTTTGTAGTGATATTCAGATTTTTTAGCATTTTTGGTATATTTTTAAAAAGACGAACGCTTTCTATTAGTATCAACAAGCGTTTCCTTTCACTATAAGGACCGACTTTCTTAAATAATTATAATAACAAAATTGTACTTCGAAGATTGCAGTATGAAACTGCTCATGGTATTGCTGATTTTGGTCCTCATTGGTAATTGCACCTGTGGCCGCAGGAGATTTAGAGGCAACAGAAAACACAAGAGCCACGGGAGTAGTAGTGAAGAGGGTAAGATTGTTTTACATACGTGGAAATGAAAATTGTAAATCAAGAAAATAAATACAGTAATCACAATATATCATTGCGATAAACAAGGCCCGTGTGTCTTTAGCATACTAAAGATGTACGCCCCTGTAATGCCTTGGTCACATATGCTCCGATCCATCGGCCGGCGCCCGGCCGATTGAGTGTTTTGTTCAATATTGTATTCAATTTTGAGCAAAATACTCAATCGGCCGGGCGCCGTAGTGAAAATCGGAGCAAATGTGACCAAGGCATAACCCTACTACCACACTTTTTCCACTACGCTCTCGAAAATGTGCCTCAACTGTGTACGAACGGACTAGACGGAACTTCATGGACTTTCCCGGACGGGGAATGTGATTAAGTATTTTGAATCGATTCAAAATTCGATGGCGACCATACCGTTCTGTAATCAGGTCATGATGACCTTCTAGACTAAAGCCCTGTATACACCAATGGGGCAAAATCCCCCTTGCCCCATCGAGTCCCATCTTGCCCCATCGAATCCCAACTTGCCCCATCTAATCCCACGAAGGACCATGGGACCTTGAGGACTTTGCCCCATTGAGTCCCATCGTGCCCCATCGAATCCCAACTTGCCCCATTGAGCCCCATGAAGTCCTATCATATCCCACGGAGTCCCATAAAGCAAGTCACGTGATACGTCATATGATCGGAATCCCACGTTGCCCCATAGAAAGAATGAGCATGTTCATTCTCGATGGGGCAAGATGGGAGTCCGTGGGATTTTGTCCCATCTTGACTCAACTTGCCCCATCGAGTCCAGCCGAGTCCCACGTGGGACTTAATGGAACCTCGTGGGACTCGATGGGGCAAGATTGGGCAAAATTCGATGGAGTCCCACGGACTTCATAGGGCCAAATCCCAAAAGGTCCCACGAGGTCCCACGCAATGTTAAGTCTATTAAGGTCCCAACTTGCCCCATCGGTGTATACCGGGCTTAAAAGACGCGTTATACGACGTTGTACACCGACGTGGTGCGACCTGAACGAACTGCGAATGAAATGGACGTATTGAAGACTGTTTATGAACGAAGTAGCTAACTATGTTAGACATATTTCCCGACCACATCCAGATTGAGCCCGTTTTATGACGTTTTCGTAGGACTGGCAAGAACAGGTAAGAACTAGTTTGGTGTGATAGGGGGTTAACAGAATATGATTTCATCGTAGGCCTAGTGGAGTGTGAACCCTTGGATGCTCCGGTAAACGGCTCCTTACAATTGATAAACGGTGAGACACGCGTCGGCACTGTCGTTTTTTATTCCTGCGACGAGGGGTCTGTTTTAAGTGGCAATACTACAAGATTATGTCAAAAAGTGTACGGACCTGCATCCAGTTCGAGTGACAGTAGTCACAGCCACAGTTACCGCCGCGTTGTCGGAGCAGAATGGAGCGGTGATGAACCAACATGTGAACGTAAGTTAAAAATGTAATAAATAGTTTTGTAACAAATAGATACAGCTATCCCAGTAAAACATATAGCGATAACCACGGCAATTGTGTCTTGAAAAGAGGTGAATAAGAGAAAATGATTTTATTGTAGCCCTATTGGAGTGTGAACCATTAGATGCTCCGGTAAATGGTTCATTGCAATTGATAAATGATGAAAGTTGTAACAGCGCTGTCGCTGTTTATTCCTGTGATGAAGGCTTTGTGTTAAATGGAAATTCCACTAGAGTATGCTCGAGTAGCGTTAACGAAGCGGAATGGAGTGGTAATGAAGCAATCTGTGAACGTAAGTAATTAAACTGTTATTAAAATAATTGTGTAACAGTAATTACAATATATCATAATAGTCCATGGTAGGAAATCTCTAGGACGTCTAATAAAGGAGCTGTTAGCACACTATAGTGCAGCAATATTTGACCTAATATTAACATACCTATACATATGCTCCCTAATAATTTTTGTTATGACCGTTTAACATACTTCCGGCTTTTAGGCTGAATTATGCCTGTCATTAGCAGAGGACCAAAAATTACCCAAAACTAAAATCCCCCTTTCTCATTATTTGGAGAACACAATGCGACAGAAAATAATACAAATAGTTTTAAACATAATTATGACTTAGGTTTCTAAGCTATAAGTTTGAGGTTGTTTTTCTCACTAACACAAAAAAATAATTATGTAATCAGTGTATTGACGTTTTGTATTGTTTCTCAGATATTAATGAGATAATGGTACAAATGAATCACTTTTATATTAGAATGACAAATGCTTAAATTATGCTAGCTAGTTTTTCACAACATGTGTCCCAGTACTTTTTGAGATATGGACTGTTATTCCGCGGTGAACATTATCATTAAAGGAGGAGGGCCTATTGCTCTTCCTTGACTAATTGCGAGTGCAGCTGAAATTCTATTTCTTGTGCTTAGATATTGCTCAGTTGCTTATAAAACAACAGTCAAGATTTGGTCAAATTCATGAATCAAGCACACTTGTTTAATTACGCTAATTAAACACCAACATTTACGGTAAAATTATAAAAAAAAATTACATTATGATAATCCATTTTTGTACGTATTTTTAGAATAACCGTCTGTGTCTTATAAAATTTATAAAAGTTTGAATCAAAATATTTTCATTTTTGATCCTTTGTGATAAAATACATTTTTCGACCCGAAAGACGGACGTTTTTTTCAGCAAATGAACTCCTTAAACATTGCTTCAAATGTTGCTGCGCTATAGTGTGCTACGGATCCTTCATATTCGGTAGTCATATCATGGACTATAACGATAAACAAGGCCAATTGTTCTTGAGCTTTCTAGGGATAACCACAGCTTATGCATCTTGAGCTTTCTAAAGAGCTGAATTAAAGTAAATATTTTCATCGTAGGCCTATTGGAGTGTGAACCATTGGAGGCTCCGGGAAATGGTTCCTTGCAATTGATAAACGGTGAAACTTCCAATGGCGCTGTCGCTGTTTATTTCTGTGATGAAGGGTTTGTATTGAATGGAAACTCTACAAGAGAATGTTTGAGTAGCGTAATCGAAGCGGAGTGGAGTGGGGATGATCCTATCTGTGAACGTAAGTTAAAAAAACTGAAATAAAAAAGTTTCGTAGCATATAAATACAGTAATTACAGTAGCATCGCGATAAACAAGGCCCATATGTCCCCAGCTCTCAAAAACAGTTTATAATTTCATCGTAGCCCTATTGGAGTGTGAACCATTGGAGGCTCCGGGAAATGGTTCCTTGCAATTGATAAACGGTGAAACTTCCAATGGCGCTGTCGCTGTTTATTCCTGTAATGAAGGCTTTGTGTTAAATGGAAATTCCACTAGAGTATGCTCGAGTAGCGTTATCGAAGCGGAATGGAGTGGTGATGAAGCAATCTGTGAACGTAAGTAATAAAACTGTTATTAAAATAAGTGTGTAACAGTAACCACAATATTAACAAATAGATACAGTAATAACAGTATAGCATCGTGAGAAACAAGGCCAATGTGTCTTGAATTTCTCAACGTGGTAAATGACAATTTATATTTTCATCGTAGGCCTATTGGAGTGTGAACCGTTGGAGACACCGATAAATGGTTTCTTGCAATTGATAAACGGTGAAACTTCCAATGGCGCTGTCGCTGTTTATTTCTGTGATGAAGGGTTTGTATTGAATGGAAACTCTACAAGAGTATGTTTGAGTAGCGTAACCGAAGCGGAGTGGAGTGGGGATGAACCGACCTGTGAACGTAAGTTGTATTACTGAAATAAAATTATTTGTGTATCTGACCATTGTATGATACATGTTTCTCGTGTGGTTATTTCAGATTCAGCCTTCTTAACCCCATAAAAATACATTCATTATCCCTCATAAAACGTCACACGTCTAAGAAGTCACACCGCTATCAACAATACCATACTATATTGTAATCTATTGTTTTATACACAGGAAATTCAGACATGCACACATATTTCATTATTGAACTGAAATATGAAAAATATACCGGTATACATACGTATTCGTCTTTGATGAAATACATCAATACCAAGTATTGAGGAATCAGTTACAGTTGGGGACAAAAATAAATGACAGGTCGATTTTCGATCACCATTTCCTAATTATGGTGGTCTGAAAGCCCATAATTTCCAATATTGTCTAGATACATATCCCTTAAAATTTGTATATTTTACATTATGTATAATCTCATCCACTGATTTATGGCCTCTTGTAAATTCTCTTATTTTTAACATGGGAAATCCTCACTTCAGCAAATCCACCTGTCATTTATTTATGTCCCCAACTGTATCTATGTTATTTCTTATGTTACATAACTACGTAGCGATAGTTTCTATAAATATAACCATACCCGCCGATACACCATACTCATTCTCCATTTACGTAAAGCTGTGGATTGTGGAATTCCTACGCGTAATGATGGCTTTCTTAATATTTCCTACACAACGACAACACTTGGATCGATCGCGAACTTCAGTTGTCCGGCATGTGGACGACGTCTGGTTGATGGTAACAATATCACTTGCCTGCCCAGTGGAGAATGGAGTTGTAGCGAAGCAAGTTGTGTAGCCCGGGGTATGTAATGCCTTGGTCACATATTTGCTCCGATTTTCACTACGGCTCCCGGCCGATTGAGTTTTATATTCAAAACTGAATAGTGAATACAATGTTGAACAAAATACTCAATCGGCCGGGCGCCGGACGATGAATCGGGGCAAACGTTACCCAGGCATAAGATCCGTGATCCATTTCCAAAATGGACGGAAATAATACAAAACATCAGGGATGTCGATCACTGATGGCATTCAGGTTAATATAAGCTGGGCATAAGGTGAAGTGTTTAACCTGTATAAAATTGTTGACGTTCTTGGTCAACCCTGTCTCTTCCACCTTACCCCCATAACTGTGGGGTTATTTTGAGTTTTTTTTATATTTAGGACATTTGATTATCAAAGTAACCCCACAAATAACCCGACATGTATGGGGCTATTCTACCTCTGCGTGCCAGAGCGATTACTGTAGCAACATCCTCCGATCACAGGGCTTCAAAATCCAGAATATAGTCTTTCTTTTTACCCCCTGCGATAAGCAGGTAGCCTTTCCCCAATTAAGAACTCGCAATCTGATTGGCTGTGGCAACACTGCGACAAAAATCATGCATAAGTCATTGCGCATAATAAGATCACGTGATTCAGTTTAATCGGGCGCTTCGAAATTGGTTTTAGCAGGGGGAAGAAGGAGGAACGGATTCTGGATACCTGCTTAGGAGGATGCTGTAGCACCATCAGCAAATCTTTAGTTTTGTGTTTTAGCGGTATGGACAACAAGGGTGAATAGACTGTGTACAGATGTTGTCGGAGGGCAAACATTGCTTGTGAAACCTGTTGAAAGCTTACCTGATTGTCAACGTATTTGTATTGCTTTGAACCAGTTTGAATGCAAGTCGGTTGAATGGGGTCGTAACACTCAGGCGGGTAATAATGATGGCATTGCGCTTGATTGCACATTGCAAGGCTTTGATTTGTCGGAACCAAATGTGACAACTACTGATTGTAGAGCAACATACTACAGCGAACTTATCTGTGAGTGCTGTTTCTAAATCTATATCTGTATGCGAATTCATTTGTATTTTACTTTTCGAGCACCCATTGCGTACCGAGTATCCTTTCCATATTCAATTTCTTATATCATATGTCGAAAGAAAAAATCATACCTTTGGAACTAGCTTCTTGACTTATAGATTTATTAATTTCAAAGAAACCCAAAGAGTATTTAAAAATATGTCCGTCCAACGCTAAAAACGCTAAAATATATGTGTGTAAATCGTACTATCTATATGCGTCTTCGCGTTTTTCTCACTAATAATCCGAAATGGTTACAACTGTTATCTTCTAATCTAGATGAAATGATTTAGAAAATCACATATTAAAAGTTCAAACTAATTTCTGTTTCGCTTTATGCGTCTGGGAGTATTAGATATTTAACAGTTTGGTGAAAATTTAATGTAATAAAATAAAATAAAATTAGATTTACTGAAAATCGCATTATCAACTTGCTGCATGATGTATTACAATATTTTATATTATTTAGGTCGTCCATGATGATAAGCTATAAACTACACCCTTAATGCAAGTGCACGCTGTTGATGAAAAAACTAGATGTAAACTATGATTGACGAAGCAGTGCAATAGATTGATTGATTCATTGGATTTGTAATCTCAATTATTAAAATACATATAGGAAAACTATTTAAAATGTGTAATTGGTTACATAAACTCTACATAGAGGTTCTTGTATGAATAGCTGTGTAAGATGGTCCTTTCTTGATGAGTTTGATAAGTTTTGCTTTGATAATGTTTCTTTTTCTCGTCTTCTCGTCTTCTCGTCGGATCAACTGTATTGAAGATTGGTCAGACTGGTATATGCCCTGCCGCTCTAAGATCAAGAGCAATGAATTGTGATTTTTCAGTTGAAACAGGGAAACATCACATTCAACAAACATGACTGTTCCCCGGGAATTTTCTCAGAAAAACTAAAGTTGATCTACTCTCAACAAGTAGGTTAATGTGTGTGAGTATTGCTAGAATCCATTTCAATGGTAAGAATGGGACAGTGGGCTTAAACGGGACATTTGGCTTGCTTTTAGAACTTTTTGTTGGTATTCAACAGGCTAAGGGCAATTGAAACAATTTCTAAATGACAAAGATGGCATGGCAATCGATCATTGTTTCTTTATTATTTACAAGAGGGGGAGAAACCCCTGGGTTCAAAGATGACATACGCTTATAATGTAAATCTGTATTGAGATGGCATCGTCGCTGATTGGTTTAGCGAGTCGATCGTTGATTGGTTTAAAACTAGGTCAATTTGAAAACTTTGAAAACCAAGATGGAGGGAAGTATAAATATACGTACTTCCGAGAAAAGAGGTGCGCGAAGGAGGAAATCGTATGTCATCAATTGAATCATGGGGTTTTCCCTCCTCTTATTATTCACAAACGATTAATAGGATTCTGCTGCTGCCATCTATATATCGTCCAAAAACTTATTTACGGGTGGCTAATTAATAACAAGTAAAATATATACAGAATCGTAAAGGAATAAGATGGGATAGATATAGTTTAAAATGTTTGAAGCACTATTTACAATGTTTAGAAAAATGTATGACATTGTTGAATGATGAAAGCAAATTATATTATAAAAGTGTGCAACCGTTTTTTGAGAATTAATTATTTTCTATCCGTCCAGTCCCTTTAATGTCAGGAACATGAATAGATGATTGGAGTTGTGTTATGGTGACATGATATTTCTGATAGATTTGAGAGATTAACAATTGCTTTCATTGTCAATTCTCTCTCAAAGTCAATTCATGTTTCAATCGTATAAACATGCTATTAAATTAAGCAATATGAACAGAGCCTGTGGTAATTTTCAAACTCTTACATGTTTGGTACCCCGTTTTATGTCATCAATATCACTATGGTGATAAGGACCAATGACAACTTCAGAAGACAAAATTGGTTCTAACGCTACAAGTTATTTTGAAGGAGCACATCGTGTTTCTAAACGTAAATGTTAAAACGGTACTAGGATTGCGCCAAAAAGTAAGAACTATGGATGGATATATAGCCTATTTATAAGCCTAACATTTTAATAAATTGTGCAATATCATCACATGTTCAGCTGGGACCACTGTTATTGATTCATTAACGTACGATGACGCTACGCTATCCTTAAGCCATGGGCAAAAAAACCAAATATGGATATCACAGCAAAACATTCATAGAACAGCTCAGAAGGAACACGCACAACTGGAGGGATCGCTTATATAGTTACAAATCAAAAGCTTGTCTCATTCAACAGGTAAGGACAATCACGCCCGGTGATCGTGAATATGGGACGGAGGGGGGGAGCAGGCAATTTCTGCTTGGAAATTCAACAAATCTGGAAGATTTATTTTTTCAAGAAAAAGTTTACTATTGAATTGCTGAATGGATAGGCGCACGGTATGGTAGAATATGTTAGGTTTTCTGGGATTTTTTCTGAAACGATACGCATCTAAGGTATGAGATCTATTAAAAAAGGCGCAAGGCCATCAACAGGCACAAATCAACGTTTTTGCTATAAATCAAGCAACAATGGTCTGGACGACCTGTAATAAATACTTGTAAGTGATGTTATCATAACTAAATTAATGTCATTGCTGAATTTATAAAATAAGTTTCACTTTATATTTCGGCAATAATATACCCATAAGTTATTCTCAAGGTATATCCATGGCATGTGAGATATTATATAAGCAATAACAAAGGGACTTCATTCATTGTCTGGGCGAGAAACCTATAGTATAATGCATCTTTAATTAAGTGCTACAGGTCGAATTCAGTCCGTTCAAGTCGTATAATATTGTGTGTAAATTGCCTACTTCCAAAGGAACATATTAATTAAAATCGAACTGAAAAATCGCTTTATCAATTTGCTACATGGTGTATTAAGATATTTTGTTTTATTTAGGCATTCCATGATCTTCAGATATAAATTAACCTTTTCACAATGCAAGTGGATGCGAAAGATGAAAGAACTAAACCATAATTGACCAAGCAATGCATCAAATTGATTGATACATTGGATTTGTAATCTCAATTATTTGAAGATACACATCAAATCCTGATGAAGGATGTCATGTTCAATATATTTTACTTTAACTGCAAGCCAATAAAAATGGACGTTTTAGCGTACACCCTGCTGTGTAAACATATGCATAAACAGACTCTGTAATTTGTTTTGCTTGGGCAAGACTGCAATAGACTTTCATTTCAGTTTAATGATTTATGAACAAGTAATGGTTGAATCTGTCTGAGACTCAAATGTCACACTACGGGATTACCCTGTCAATGTAAACATTGTGATTCATCATGAAAATCAACGGAGATTTTTTTAGAAAAGTTGAAAAAGTCATAGTAAATGATTTGAAATAACTGTGCTAATCAAAGTTATTATTGTGGAAAACTTTTCACTGAATTAAGATATGCTAATTAAGGCCAGTGTACGCTTTGGAATTTTTTTGCAATTTTGAAAAGTAAACCACTGAATATTGTAGTAATTCAAACATTATGAAGAATTATCAACCCTCAATTGGTAGTCTAGGTACACTAATGCATCTTTTGTGCAAGATTGAAAGATGTACGAGGGATGATCAGGAATTTCTCGACCATTAGCTCTATTTTTGCAATTTTTTATCCTTTCTTAATGATTTTTTCACATAATATAACCCAAATATATAGGATCCCACCATGAAGATTTCATTGTTCTCTGACATCATTATCCAATTATTTTTGTTACCATGGTAACTTGTGACGCGACAAGGTCGAGCTCAGAAAAAATACCAAATTTGAAGAACAAGTCATTTTATATGATGTTTAGACACTGCATTTATTGCTGAATATGTGACATACTGTAATAGGTTGTACTATTTCATTAAGTATATTCATTAATGTTCGTAGTAACTGGCATTATTCTTCCATCAATTCTAATCCTTCAAAGTAGTTACCAGCACCAGAGACATATAAAACATGTCTCTGCCAGCACTTTATGAGCATTTTTGTGAATTCCTGAATGATCTCATTACTGTCCTCAAAGTGGATACCTCTTAATTTGTTCTCCACTGTTGGGAAAAGATAGAAATCACACCTAATTCTGGGTGATACGGTGCATGTGGTACACGGTCACAACCGATGGAAACAATCACATTTTGTAGGCAAAGACTACTAAGTATGTGAAAAGCCATAACAAATGCTTTTAAAACGCTGGTAACTACTTTGAAGGATTAGAATTGATGGAAGAACGACAGTTACTATGAACATTGATGAATATATTATTTATGACTTGTGAACTTGAGCTTTTTTGTGTTACAGGCTTTCCATGGGGGCGAATTTTATTGTATTGTAAGTTAACATGTGTTCTAATGATATATGTAGGTTACAATCCTGCTAGGGTTGGAATTGGCTAATGCCAATTTGTATTGAAATATGGAGAATAGCAGTAGGGTTGTTTAATTACCATAAACTGAAAATGATCAATGCACCAGACTCTTCCAGTGATATACCAGGCTTATATTTCAGAATTTGTACTCTCTTAACCCTCTTACTAATTGGTGGAGGGTTATTGTTTAACATTGCCAAACATGGAACACTGGTTTTTACATTCTTGTCTTTTATTATAATATTTGCCCAACAAGTATTTTATTTTTGTCTGGTATCAATGACATGTTTTTATGTACTATCATATGTCATGCATCAGCATTCTAATTTTTCACTAGTCGTTATTAAATTGTTTCTACTGGTACTGTCAATAGGTTGCCTCCCAGGTTCGGTACTGCTCATACATAACCCAAGTCACATAAGTATAATTCTGTTAATGTTATGTGGAGATGTGGAAATCAATCCTGGACCGGTTGATGATCTAAAAATACTTTTTTGTAACATAAATAGTATCAACGCTGATTCAATGGGTAGATTAGAATTCCTTAAACAGTATGCTAAAAATGAACAGTTTCATATTATGGCAATTTGCGAAACAGGAAACATCTCTACAAATGATTTAAACTCCAAGAACTTTAATGTGCTAGGCTATGGCAACCAAAATTTTCAACAAACAATGGACGGGGACTGATTCTTTGGACACATGACACAATTGAATCTAAAATCTGTGATGAATATATGTCTGATGAAATGTCAAACTGCTGGATTGAGATAAAGGCTAATCATAAGTCATTAATGTATGGGTTCTTCTACCGTTCCCCCTCTATGTCTGCTCATGAAACAAGACAATATTTTAACTCATTGAAAGATAACTTTGGACAGGTATTAACTAAACCCAGTGATGGAATGATTATAAACGGAGACTTCAATGCTCGTAATGATATCTGGTATGAGGATGATAATAATAATCTTGCAGGATATGAACTTAGTAATATCTTAATTGACTTAGGTCTTAAACAACTTATTAATGAACCGACACGAATAACTAATAATTCTAAATCCTGCATTGATGTACTTATATCTGATTCTGAGCACCTCCTAACTTTCAATGTGGATCCACCTGTTGGAAATTCAGATCATTGTTCAATAGTTACAAAATTTAAACTAAAAATTCCCAGGGAACCATCAATTAAAAAGACAATATGGTATTATGATGATATTAATCTGG